TTTTTTACTGCAGGCTTCCAAATTTTGTGAAAAACTAATACTACTAGGTGATTTTTTTTTTAGACAGAAACCAAGGGGTACAGTGCAGTAAACATCAGCCAATGATCTGTTAATTTCTATCTGTCTAAAACTTAAAACCATATCATGCTATGCATATTTGAGTTTGGACTTTTTAGCATTATCAGGGCCGAACCATAACATAGACAAATAAGACAGATGTCTAGGATGGGTTTTTTAGGGGTCCAATCAAGATGTCCTATTTGGAAAAAAAAAATGTAAAAGTAAAATAAAAGTTTATCCATATACTCAATTTAAATTTAATCTAAATCCAAAGGTTTCCTTTTTTATAAGATGCACTGACATAAATGGTTCACTGTAAACAACATTTTGCTGATTAGCTGATCTGTAGGTGGGGCATGACACGTGACACCTAGCAAGAATAGAGACAAAGAATATGTATTAGATGTTCTTTGGCAGAGAGATGATTTCTGGCTCTAAATATTAAATTTCTGAAGTGATTAGTTAGTTGAAGTGTTTGAAGTAGCTTTTTATATAATAAACTAGCAGGCTGCAGCCAAAGCAAAACTTAATATGTTCTATTCTATGTACATCTGAAAAGAAAATGCTCAAAACATTTCAATATAAATGAAATCAGTTCATTCTTTCCAAGCAACATTCAATTTGTAATTATATTTTCCTTTTTTTTTTTTTTTTTTTTCTTTTTTTTTTTTGGTTGAGAAGCCAGGAAACAAAAATGGTCTGACACTTTAGGGTAATACATTTAATGCCATGATTTAAATTTAATGTAATATAAACACTTTTTCTCAATATCAATAACAGAATTAATGTTGCAGTAATGTACAAGTCAGTTATCCTAACCTGAAATAAAAAAGTTGCCAGCAGCAGCTATATATTTAAAATACTCACATTAATGCAAAATTTTCAAGATACAATGACGTCACATGCAGTTGCGGGCTTTCTTCTGCGTCAGAATAGGACCTTATATACATGTTTTTTCTTTGGCAATGCTATTTTGTTGCATATTTTGTGAAACTTGCAAATTTTTTTTTTTAACAAACTGAATGATTTGAAAGTGAGCACTGGCAACATTTCTCAAAATAAAGCAGATTTTTATCTCCAGCATGCAAGACTGTTGCCATTCGGAAAAATGAGTGCAAAAGTTAGCATTTTCAGATTTTTAATTAATATCTCAGCTGATTAAAGTTGTACGAAGATGAGAATGGTGGAAATGTCTTCCTATAAATTTTTTGAATTCAGGGGTACCTCTTTCTCAATACAATTTCCCACTGTTCTGGAGGAGATAATGCCACAAAAAAACAGACAGATGAACACAGATTTTTTTAAATATTTTATATAAAAGGAATTGTCGTCAAGTTTTCAGTGCTAAAAAAAGAAAGGGTAAGAAGAAAATGTCAAAAGAAACACACACACACACAAAAAAAAAAAAAAAAAAAAAAAAAGATCCGTTTAAATATGTTGTTAATACAAAAAAAAAAAAAAAAAAAAAAGGTAACATTTATGCAGAAGATCAATCTGAAGCAAAGATTACAGAAAAAGAAGTTGGTGAATATTCTGGAAACCAGGAAGTATATGCAGAAATAACAAAAAGCAGTGAAACCAAAATTGAAGTAATAGAAATGAAAAACATAGAAGGCATACCAGATTTTGTGGAGAAAAAACAAAATGCAAGTGATGAAGAAGAAATTGAACATATAGAATATATACCTAACACTGTTAATGATACATTAGTTTTAGAAAATTTGGACATTTGTTCGTGGCCTTTAAATTTAAGAACAGACGTGCAACATTATTTGCTTAAAAATAAACCACCATCAAATATTTCATTTATACATAACCACTAAAATTGTAGTAACAGAAGGTGGAAAAACTGTTAACTCAGTCATTAATAAAAGCTTTTTTTTTTTGCCATAAAACAAATAGTGAAAATGTTGAACAAGGATGGTTAGTGTACGATCAAACGAACACTTTGATCAAACAAACACTTTTACAGAAGGATACTAAAGAAAAATGCAAATGTAAGAATGTAAGAACACGAAAATTCTACTGATCATAGACATTCTATTAAAATTTTAATGTATAGACACTAAAAGGAGATCGTAGACATTCTATTAAAATTTTAACATATAGACATTGAAAAACAGTATTTAGAATTACGTTAATGCACCAATATGTCTGGAAAATACAATGGGCTCCAAAACTGCATTAGAAAAACTACGTTCCTTGTGCTTCACATTCATCAAATCTGATAGTAAGTTGTGCTAGTGAATCATGTTTGCAAGCAATGACACATTTTAATTTATTGGAGAATGTTTATACATTTCTTCGGGGTCTACTCATAAGTGGAACACTTTAGAAAAAGGTTTTGCTGCAAATAATAAACATTTTACGGGAAAAAAATTATGTACTATTAGGTGGTCTTGTACAGCTGACGCAATTAAAGAAATCCACTGTGGGCTCAACGAAATAAAAAATGATCTGCTCGATATATCTCTAGATGAATCTTAGAAATGTTCTGTAAAACTGAAATTCCGAGAAATAGAGCAAAATTAATAATTTAGAATCCATTTTATTAACAGTTATTTGAGATAAAATTCCAGAATAAATGCAACCAGTATATCCTTACAAGACCGTACTATGCCAATCTTGCTTGCAGCAAATATTTTAGACAATTTTTTTATGTTAATAGTTTAAGAAAATTTCCAGAAATAGAAACAGAAGCATTAAACACATAAGAAATAAAAACTTATTTCGATACTAGTAAAAGGTTGCAGAAATTGGATAGAATTTTTTTATACAGTTCATCAATGATGAAGATGGCGAAAGTCCATGTAATCAGGGTCAAGAATCCTTTGAATGAAATTGCTTTTATGTAATATGTGACAAAATATTTTTTGAACTAAAGCTACATAGCAAGACATTAGCAGGATTTTTAAAATACAGTACAAAGTCCAAGATCCGGACGTCCATTATCTGGAATGATCTAAAATCTGCACCTCAAAATCACCAAAATCGTTTTTCTGGTAGGCTGTACACACGCGCATTTGATTCCCCCCTCTGTGCATCATAAAACATCTGGAGGGTTCCGATTCTTAATTTCACTTTGACACTAAATAAAATACCTTGTTATTGAAGAAACAACCACTTTAACGTAAATTTTTACAATAAGTAATTTGGCTCCATTGCTGCATATTTGCTTTTCACACATCTGAAATCAAAACTTTCTACATATATACATCGTTGATCTGACGCCAACCTGGTGAATCACTATTTATTATACTTTCCTTTCACTGCATGTTTATCAAAACATGACAACTTGAGTAATGATTCATGTAGTGATACCTTAATATTTTTTTATGTTAGTAATTGAATAGTAAAGGAGTATGGTAACCTTTTATATTGACATAATGCTTGGCGATGATTACAGATTTAAGTTAAATGCATTAAAAAGTGTTGAAAAGGAAAAATTTCTTTCTATATGCTAAAAATAGATTTTGTTGATAATACTCATAAACCCAAAGATTACATTTAGAGCTATTTTAGTTAAGAATAACTTATTTATTATTCACATAAACCCAAAACCAGTGCCAGGGCTCATATGGCCATGCAAAGTTGCAGAATTTAGAACTCGCAGAAACTGCATCAGCCGGTAAGATATCTAGCGCTGGTCCTCGATGAGGCTTAAGTATCTGTGGGAATTTATTGATTTAGAACTCTGATAAGCCTCAAACATGTGCAAGAAATATACCTAAGTATAATAAATAATACAATTCAGGCTTAATTGTCTCAGTGCGCAGTAGAAGCAAGATAAAATTTAATGGAACAACTTGTCGTTAGTCGCCAAGCTCATGATGCATAGCCAAAAATGTATAGTGAAGGGTAGCTAAATTTGATGATGATAGCCACTAATTTTAATGGTTTTTGGATATCGCGAAACAAAGGGGAAATTTTCCATTTAACGGATTTTGTAAAGAAATTTGGAGAAGCAATAATAAATGAAGATAATATAGAAGAAGTTTTTCCTTCTGATGACAATGCTTCTCAATCATCAATCAATTAATGAATGGTGAAATCTGTAGTGAAGTGACAGAGAAGTTACTGAAAACGAGAAAATTTCGATTGACAAGTTATTTGGAATTCTCGAAACAGCAGTTACAGGACTTCAATAATGTAACTAAACAAGAGATTATGTCTGTCTAGAGAATTAAAGAGAAAGTATTAGTACAAAAAAGGTAAACAAATAAATATTAAGTTTTTTTTTTTTTTTTTTTGTAAATTTTGATACCCTTTAGATCATAAATACTTCATTATTTAATAAATCACGATTTCATATTTTTAATTTTATAATTTCTACATGCCATCTTACTAGATTTAAACTGATGATCTAATATCCGGAAAAATCCCAAATCAGGAATCGCCAAAGTCCCAACGAGTCCGGATTTCGGACTTAGTACTTGATACAAGCTCAAATGACAGTGTGTCAATTGAATCTGAAGATACCACATTACTAAAAAAATGTTACAGTGAAGACATTGATAGAAGAGAAGGATGAGGCACTGTTACAGTTTCTGTTACTTTGTAAAAGTGAAAATTTAACGTTGCCATCTGACGTGCTACGATTTATAAGCACTGCAAAATTTGTATGGACATTGCCAAATATGAATTTCATGGTTGTATATATAAATTTTATTTATATTTCTTATACAACTAGTGATATTTGTTAAGTGTTTCAGTAGTTACTTTTATGTATGAAATTTTGCTTCTATAAATGAAGATGATATTTTTCTTATTCAGCATTATTTTTACTAGAAAAGTAGTTTAAGTATTCTGAAAGCAAAGAAATTAATGCTGTAATATTGAGTTCACATTCTAGTTTAATGTAATGCATATGAATACTGTGTAGTAGTTCATAATATGTAAACGTCATGTTAATGTTCTTTGTTTTATTCTAATTTCTATAGTGAGGTAGTGGAAGCTGTAAATAAGACTAAAGATTTATATCAGCGTTGGTGTGAACTTAAAGATCTGAATCTCATTAGCAAAGAAGAAATTGAATGGACCACTAATGAGCTGAGAAATAGTTTTCGAAGTATTGAATGGGATTTGGAGGATCTTGAAGAAACAGTTTGTATCCTTTATTGAGTAGATTATTTTTAGTATAAATGCCCTGGAATTTAAATAATTTGTTTTAGGTTATATTATTTGTTTTTTTAGAAGAATTTTTAAGTGCTTTAGAATTTAAATGGTGCATTAGTTTTGAATTATATCATTTATTTTGGAAAGATTGGATAGAGGTATTTCATTATAAATATTTTAAACATACTTATTTATATTGCCACACTGATGTATATTGATTTCATTACATTTTTGCAAATTCTGGGCAAGAGCAATCAGTCAGTAAAATTTAAAAAGTGAGAAACAAGAAACATATAAAGAAATATAATAAAACATACCTTTTTTAACACATTCATGCCAGCAATAGTATTCCTTTGCCCCACTTCTTGTGCTAAGAGTTCTGCCTCTAAGGCTAAATTCCTTTAAAACTTGTTTATTTTACTTTAATGATTAGTATGGTCAATTAATAATCCCTATATTGATTTCAAACTTATGTGAATATGCAGACATACAGTGAGAATAATAATAATGAAATAAAAATATAAATTTTGCATAAGGTTATATTTTGTCTAAACTATATTTTTCAAAGTATTCCACTTGTTAATATGCATGTTTTTACATGGATATCACATTTCTCATCAAATTGTTGGAATTACATGACACACTTCTGTGTTGACATAGTTTTGTTGTGAACTTTGTGTCCATGTATTGATGGCCTTCCATTTGCATAATTTCTAGTAACCAGTGTATTCCCATGCTTACTGGAATCCAGTAGCAGATGCACTATTTCTCCTCAGAACCGGGTTTGAGTCTTCCAGCAGCCTTAGTGTGCAAAACATGGGATTTAGAAACCACCATAGCCAAATTTCGAAGCACAGCTTTCATTTTCGGGCTTTCTACGATGATAAGCAATAGAAAAGCAGTCAATCAATTTCATTGATGCCATAATGTGTTTGTCATAATCTAGAAGATGATTTGATCTGAAAATGGATTCTCCTCTTTGATTACCTTCAGCCGAAGTTTTCATTCTACCAGAATGCTTAGTTGTAAGTACAAGGATACCTCATTTGTCTTTCTATTTAATCAAAACTATATCATGTTTTCTGTACATGATATTCCAACCTTTTCCAGCTGCATGTTTACAACTTTTTTTGGGAGATATTTTCTGTTATTCCAATGTTCTACATAACGTGGCTTTGTTTTGAAGAAGCTTATTTGTGTTCTTTGCTTAGAAGGTTGCTCACCAAAACCAAATATACTTTCCACATACATGTTGGTTTCTGATACAATGTTTTGCATAACTTCTTTAGTGATCTTGTTTCATTAAAAAAAAAAAAAAGAAATTAAGGAGTTGCGTAAATTTAGCTTTGTGCACAGCCTCACCATTGCACTCATTAAACATTATATATTGTTATGAAATGCCCATGTGCAGTAAGATAGCTTCCTTGCAAAGCAGGTTTAGGGTTGCCAGAAAATGACAAGGGATGGCATGGGTGCCACATATAGCTAGAAATCGCCCATTTAGTGACAAAATTGGCGATAGCCATAGGTGGACGGAGAACTTTCTCGAACGGATTCTTACTGGTTTAGCCCAGAATATTCTCGAAAACAAGCCAAAAGCTATATAAACTTTGCTGGCATGCAGGTTTTATATAGCTTTTGGCTTGTGTTCAAGGACTACTAACGAGTTAGATAGTCCATGTGGTGTCCATCGAGTTGATAGTCAGTCCGCGAGTGCAAGTGGGTCATCAAGTGTACTGAAAGAGTCTCTTAGTATATTGCGGTTGGTGTATCTTCGAGAGAGTGTGTTGAACTCCGGGAACGACTGAACTGAGGAGTCAGGAGCTGTACTCCAGTGTTTCATGGAGTGCATCGCAAGTTGTAACGTGGAGAGTCTCGCGAGTACGTGGAGTTCTGAGAGCGACCAAGCAGAGTCGGGAGATGTGCTCCGGTGCTTTTCAGTGAAGCTGTCTCTACCATTATAGCCTGATAACCTGGAGGTAATGTTGCTGATTGTATCAGCTTGTTTATTGTAGTTCTTCGACGACTGTAAACATGATATTAGAGCTGTCTTGAATAATACTGGCCAATAAAGTGTGTTTTGATACTTCATCGAGTGCTGTTGTCAAATAGAACAACTGGTGTCAGAAGTGGAATTTGAGGGTGAATGCTAGTGACGAGAGTGATAGAAGAACAATTAAGACTGCCTTCGTAGCATTCCAAGAAAAGATGAAAGCTGAGATCAAAGCCTAGCGAAAAGAGATAAAAGCCGGATATGATAAGATAAAAGCTAGATATGAAGAGATTAGGGCTGAGATTAAAGAAATGAAAGCCGGACTGGAAGAGAAGGCCTGACAAGAAGAAATAAATGTCGGCCAAGAAAAGGTTCGAGAGTGACTCCAACAGATGAAAGTGGAGCTTTCAGAGGAAATTGGAGCCATAAAAGGAGATGTGGAAATCACAGAACTGGCATCTGAAGAATCAAAGTATGAAGAAATGAAAGAAGTAGCTAATGAAAGAAGAAGAAGCCTGAGAAAGATTAAGAAATATGGATGAAGCATCTAATGAGATTAAAAGAAAAGAAAACATGAAGAAATAAAAGATGGGAAAGAAGTGTTTGATTCTCAAGTACCTGAAATAGAAGTGGAAGAAAGTGAAAATCTGACTGTTAAGTTGATAGAAACTGGTATTGAAGTTACGAAGTCGCAGGCAGGAAGTGCTGAACCATCTGAAAGTACCTGTGATGCAGAGATGGGAGAAGCTAATGTACAGCTTAAACAGTGTGCTCCAGTATTGCAAGAAAATTTGCCCACCTCACAAACTGGGGGTGTGCCTCATAGTCAGGTTTTGAAGACAAGGACTTGATTCTAAACCTGAATACTTCTGTTTGTAAAGGATCGGATTCTCTTCATGACCCTGGTGCAAACATTGGAACTGGTTTTCAGGAAATAGAGGTAAATAAGCATGTAACATTTGCTAAAAATACCGACGTGAACTGTGTGCATGCTGCAAATGAACTACAGATTGGTGAACAAACTGTTTCAGATCTTTCCGTGGATGAAAAGTCGGAAAGGACTGAATCATCAGACTGTGATATGCAAAACAGAAATACATCTGAAACTGCAGTGGAAGAGTATTGGATCTGGGTATAACTTAATGAAAAGACTGAGACTGAAATTCATTCTGAACTTTTGTATAATTTAAATAATTTTGTATAATTTAAAATTGTTATGTGTTTAATTTGTGTATATAACGTGTATATAGTGTAAATATTTGTTTTTTTAGTTATGTTATTTGTTTGTATCGAATTTGGCTTCTGACCAAGAATTGTACTGCCCGGAACGTGCAGTCATTCGGAGGGGGCAGTGTTATGAAATGTCCAGGCGCAGTAAGATAGCTTCCCCGCAAAGCAGGGTTCAGGTTGCCAGAAAATAGCAAGGGATGGCAGGGCTGCCACATTTGGCGAGAAATCACCCATTTAGTGACAAAATTGGCGATATGCCATAGACGGATGGAGAACCTTTTGGAACGAATTCTTACTGGTTTAGCCCAGAATGTTCTTGAACACAAGCCAAAAGCTACATGAACCCTGCTGGCACACAGAGTTAGTCAGTGCGGAGTCAGCGAGTTCCAAGTGCACCGAAAGAGTCTCTTAGTGTATTGTTGTTAGTGCATTGTCGAGAGAGTGTGTTGAGCTCCAGGAACAACTGAACTGAGGAGTCGGGAGCTGCATTCTAGTGTTTCTTCGAGTGCATCGCAAGTTGTAACGTGGAGAGTCTCGAGAGTTCGTGGAGTTCCTAGAACGACTGAGCAGAGTCGGGAACTGTAATCTGGTGCTTTGCAGTGAAGCTGTCTCTACCGTTATAGCCTGATAACCTGGGGGCTGTGTTGCTGATTGTGTCAGCGTTTTTTATGTAGGAGGGCATTTCGAAAAATAAAGATACAATTTCCATTCCTTAAAAAAAAACATTTATATAGAAAACGTTAGTTACATCTTATTAACTGGATTATTTATTATTTTTGGACATAATCACTCCCGTTATCCAAACATTTGTTAAGTCGGTGCACAAGCTTTTGTATCCCACAGTCATAGAAGGTTGCCGCCTGTTGGAACCCAGCGTGCACACAATTTCCTGTATCCTAACTTGACAGTCACAACTTCATAAAGAGTTGTCATTCACATTTCCGGTATGATCTGATGCAATTCTTTCAATTTGAGACGTCTATTCGCACTAATTGCTTCCTTTGTTCTCTGAAGAAGGATATCAGAGATCACAGATGGCCGACCTGTTCTTTGTTCGTCATGAACATCGGCCCTACCTTCAGAGAAATGACGACACCATTTCGTTACATTTTGTCGATTCATAATGTTCCCATAAACAGAAACAATTTCTTTGTGAATATCCACTGGTCGCTGACCTTTTGTATGAAGAAAACATATGACGGGGCACATTTCGCATTTTTCGGGATTCTGAATCGGCGCAGCCATTTTAAACACAACCTACTCCAACCAGAATCAACGTTGAAATGCCAAACGACCGCGGGAGAAAGCTAACGGTTCAAGGGTTAACATCTGTGTTGCCAACTTGCTCACCAAAACTTTTCTTTTCCTCTGTCTTTACTTTTCGAAATGCCGTCGTAGTTCTTTGACAACTGTAAATGTGATATTTGAGCTGTCTTGAATAATACTGGCCAATAAAGTGTGTTTTGATACTTCATCGAATGCTGTTGTCATTATTCACTCCAAATCTGCGCGAACCCTGTAACAAATGTAAGAAAAGGAAGAGAAAAATGTAACAATATATTATATGATACATTATTGTTTTTGTCCCCATGTACACAGCAATCTGTTTTTGTTTAAAGAATATCAGACAATTGCACAAACTCTTCATCGCTTATAGATCATGCCTTTCTGCCGTATACACCAAATGATATGGAACTCAAAGATTCTGTTTTTACTGTTTAAAAATATGCAGTTTATTACAAATAGAATTAAAAACCAGGCGACATGTG